ATAATTAACAATGAGAAAAAATAATTTTCATGCATAAAGTGCTTAAAATAATTATTCAATATTTTAAAAATATAATGGGTCAATTTCTAGTAAAATAATGTAGTAATGTATGCATGGGCTATAATTGCAAAATTATTGCAATTGTAACAAAAAAGTGTAAATCTGGCCATTTGTGAAATAATTTGAACTTAATATGACTATAAATAGATAAATTAAATCAATGAAATATTGTAGATCCATTTGTGATGCAATTTTGTAATTATTTATATAAATAAAATACTAGAATAAATTAATTTAAAAATATAGAAATTATGGAAAAATATCAATTGATGTTAATGCATAGTTTTGAAGATATATATGCACTTTAAAAATATTATAGAAAAAAATTAGGTATCAACATCGTTCTTTTAGCTCATAATCAGCACGTGTAAATTCTATTTCTCAATGCTCGAGATCTTACCATAATAGACAATTTTTGGAGAGAAAAATCGCTTAGCTGTGAAAAATGGTCATTGGCAATTTGATATCATTAGTGTACTCCTCTAGCATCTGTACTTAGATCTCCCTGACTTAAGTTCCCTTGGTAGTTTCTTAAGCGTCTACCTCAGAGCAGCTTTATTTGTTTTAGATGTGGAAATGAAGGCAACATGTTGGGCGTGTTTGGTACGAAAGAAAATGTTTTTCTAGAAAATGAGTAATTTTAATCACTTATTTTTCTTGTTTGGTTGGTGAGTGAATTTTTTTTTCCAAAAATTAAATTTTGTTGTTTGATTAGATTATGCTACTCTCATCACTCCTTCCCGCAAATTCCAATGTTTTATGTGCTATCCTTCCTCCCCCCCCCCCCCCAAATACCAAACGTTTTTAGGTTAATTTTTTCTTTAAGAATTTAATTATTCTTTTAAAAATTCACAAAATGTGCTGCTTTACTTTTTGTTGTTGAAAAAAAGAGTCTCTTTCTACAACCTGAAAAGAAAGTACCCATTTTATTGAAATGAAAGAAAATACTTTTTTTACATCATGAAAAGAAAATATTTAGTTTGTTAAAATGAAATAAAATACTTTTTTACATCTTTAAAAGAAAATGCTTATTTGGTTGAAATGAAAAAGAAAGTAAAATATTTAGTTTGTTAAAATGAAATAAAATATTTTTTTTACATCTTTAAAAGAAAATGCTCATTTGGTTGAAATGAAAAAGAAAGTACTCTATCTATAACATAAAAAGAAAGTTCTTTTATAAATATTTCTATATAGGGTGTATTGGAAAGTGTGTCAGGCTAATAGAAGAAAAAAAATATATTTAAAGAGAAAAGCAATAAATTGCACAAGACAAGACAAAATAAGACAAGATTTACGTGGTTCGATAATTTTTATCTATTTCACGACCACACAAAGAATAGATCTTTATTGATATTAAGAGAGAAAGAAGAATGTCGTGAGGATGAATTTACAACTGAGAAGGGGATGCCTATTTATAGGCAGGGGAATCAGCTAAAATCTTCAGCAAAATGTGAACATGCGGCAAGATGGCACCGCGATTTTAAACCAATTTAATTCATTCACATTTTGCGGTCTTTTCATTCTGACTTCCTTTCTTTCTTTGTCTTTTTCACATATGTTTTTCTTCTATTTTCATTTATTACTTTCTTCGACTTTCCACTTTTGTTTTGTCTTCTCTCTTTTCTTTCGTTTACAAACAACAGAGTTTGCTCCCATCAGGGTGGGGGTAGGGTAGGGGCTGGGTGGTGGTTAGAGGGCATGGGGNTGTTTTCCCTTCTCTTGATAGGGAATTTTTTATGAATTTGAGGAAAATGAGTTTACGAGGAAAATGTTTTTCAAAATATTTAAACCAACCAAACATGAGAAAATTAAAAAATATTTTTCGGAAAATATTTTTCTTCGTACCAAACCCACCCGTTTTCCTTAAAGATTTTCCAATGATAGATGGATTAGTTCATTTATCTTCTGGCCGGGATTGGGGACTGTCATCGGAGTAATGTGTTAGTCTAAATAATGTAATATTGGATTATCATTACTAACTATGTTTTACTCTTCTTGTATGGTGATGTTTTAGCATATAAAAATAGGTAAAACTTGATATCAAGTTCGATATGATCACGTAGAAGATAGAATGATCACTTGCTACAGCGAGTTAAATAACGTGATGGTGCAAAAATTCCTGAGGTTACTTGGAGAGCCCTTTGCATTTTTACCTTCTTTTATTACAGATAACTATTTAATGTTGTTTAGGGAGTTAGAGCTCTATCCCAAAGACCAACACATGACTCAGATTCTGCTACTAAGAGGTCGTTTGGTAGAGTGTGTTAGAGAAAATAATGCATGCATTAGTTTTGTGTATTAGTAATGTTTTGTTTGGTACATTTTTTTAACCTATGTATAACTAATACAAGCATTAGTTATACACTCTATTTGGTATTATCCTATGTATAGTTAATGCATAGAAAACCATGGCATTAGCTATACAAAGGCTATTAATGCATGCATTAGTTTTGTGTATTAGTAATGTTTTGTTTGGTACATTTTTTTAACCTATGTATAACTAATACAAGCATTAGTTATACACTCTATTTGGTATTATCCTATGTATAGTTAATGCATAGAAAACCATGGCATTAGCTATACAAAGGCTATTAATGCATGCATTAGTATGATTAAAGACAAAATTATCCTTAAAGTCCCTTAAATTAAAGAATATGGAGGGTATTTTTGTAAACAATTAAATTTCTTAAAAATTATGCAATGCATTTAAATTTTTAATACACCACACCAAACAATGCATAAAAAATAATTTCTGTATAACTAATGCTTGCATTACTAACCCATGCATTATTAACCTCTGCATTACCAATGCAACTTATTTAGCATTATTCTTATACGCCCTACCAAACGTCCCCAAGTGTATTAGTGAAAAATAGACTCGCCACGTGGATCTATTAAATGGCGATACGTGTCAGCAAAATTTGGAGAAAAGTAAAGAATGATATGTAAAGATGATATGTGAAATACTCCCGGGACCGAACATACTCGTACCGTGCCTGTTAGCCTCAGAACTGATCATCATAAAATGGCCCGAATCAGGTACGGAAGAATATCTCATAATTACAAATGAGGAAGGAATCAATTAATCCCGGATTATATGGGATTTAGTCCCGGATCATTACACTGTCAGTTACAAATCAATTATGTAACGTACAATAAATACAATAAATGATTGTAACAGTCAGAACAAGGTAATCAATTACAAGATTGACTCAACAGGCACGAGATTGACTCAACAGACACGAGATTGACTCATCAGTTACGGAATTAACTCATCAGTTACGGAATTAATTCATCAGTTACGGAATTCCAGCATTTACACAGCTGATACAAGTCTTCCAAAAGTAATAGATGTATTGAGTAAATATTCATAATTACCCATAATTCAAGGAGAATAGTTACTTAGATTTAGCCCTATAAATAGACATACTTTTACCACTATCAGGGAGAATCTAATTTTCTTCTCTACAATTCTATATATTGCAATTCATAGCATCTTGCTCCCAAGTTAGTCATAGTTCGCCCAAGTTAGCCATAGTTCGGCCTTTCAAGCTCTGTTCGGCGCATCATCCTATCAAGGATCATTTAATATGAATTATTTCTTATGTGCTTTATTTTTATTATATTATCTCTCATTGAATTTATTTTTCACTTCTCTATCACGTTGTATATCGAATCGGTTGCTTGTGGCCCGTCATGTGAAATTTATTGCTTTGACCTTGAAAATCATTTTTTGGGTTAAACACTAAGAATACACCGAGAGACAATAAAGAATCAAGACACAGAATGGAGAGGATATATGTCACGTTACGAGAAGTAATCTTTGGTTTTAGCCTACAGGATGGAGAGTGTACTACTGAATGACGTTAATCACAACTGGATGGTTCTTTGGTCATGGACATATTATATTCCCCTAACTCTAGATGATACACCACACTGGTGGTTAAATTGGAGATTACACGCATATTTAATTTGCAGTGAAAAAGATTTGCCTAGTCTAGTGCTTTTTTTGAGTTTCTAGAAGTTACTTTTACTTTTTCTTTGCAATGCACAACTGACATGGATATCAGATAAACATTGAACTAGAAAAAAGAAACTTATTCTAATCACACATTCACACACTCCCTCATCTTTTGGACTTTGCCGTTGGTGCAATTAGCTTAGTGATTATTGAACAAAGACTTATTTCAGTGCTTTGCACATTAGTATTTCATTGGCACTAGGTAGGTAGGATATGATAGAAACTGCTTTCAACCAGTGTGTTCTGTTTGACATTTCTTATTTACTTCCATTAAATTGTTATCTTTCACTTGTTGGCAGTGCATATTAAATATTTGCTCTGACGAAAGCTATCCAAACATTTGAATTGAACAACTTGTTTAATTTTGCAAAACTAAATGATGTTTCAATCTCCCATGATCTAGTTCAGTTTGATGTTGCAGACACCTTACTTACCCTTAGGGTTTGAAATTTCATTTACACAGTGGTCTTATTTACTAAAAACGTAATCATATTTGAAACGCTAAGTTTAGGCGAGCTTTCATTACTTCTAATTGGAGATCTGGCTCGATTCCAACATGACTTTCCAGCTATAAACGAGCTGCAGTTGGGACTCGAACTATGTTGGATTAATTTTCAAGGCTTGAGCATATTTATGAAGTTAGTTCATATCAAGCTGGCGCACATGACGTTCTCTAACATCAAGGCACTTTATTTTTTGAAAAAACAATGAAAGCACTTGCATGCAAAATAACGTGACCAGTACAATTGATTAACTATACCTCAATCTGAAAAATAGGTGAGAAAATCCTCTAATTCTATTCAAGACTAGTGGTTGTTATCACTTATATATAGATCCATTTTATTCTTCTCTTAGCAACATCACAGCCATACAAAAGATGTAAGCTAGCCAAGCTTTTTTGAACCGTAAAATGTCAATCTAGATTGAAGCTTAACGTGTTTAATAATCAAGCTTGACAGTGGAATCAAGACGTGTTTAATAAACATCCTGAGTTCAAACATACATTAGCAGAGTCGGGCTTCATTTACACCTCTACAATTAATAGCGCACACTATGCTTTACACAAGTAACATAATGAATTCAGGAAAAACCACTCACCATCTGCAATATCCTGAATCACTATCATTTCTAGCAACACATCTTCAACAATCTCAACCTTACAGAGAAAGGGATCATCCAACCACCTTTGTTGAACCACCTCTGCTGGTGTTTCTCTTGAAACCATAGCTACTTAGCACATAGGCATGGGGACATGGCAAATACAGCTACACCAATATAAGCTATCATAAATATCGTTGAAGAGAAAATGATCATCCAAACCTCGACAACACTTCTGCTGGCTGCCTTTTCTCCATGCACTCCACGATAACTCTGCACTCAACTTAGTTGCCATAGCTTCTATGTAAGTGGAATAGTTAGACTTTATAAAGCCAGAACTCCTTAGAGAATCAATGAAGTAAAGGTCCATGTGACGTGATATCAGGAAGATCAGAACTAATGGAGAACTTCAACCATCTTTTCTTCTCAATAAACTTAAGACATGGTTGCAACACCAACCCAATTGCAACAGCGACCAGGCTTACAACCATAACTTTAATCGAAGAGAAGGCCAACACAACACCAATGAGAATGGCCGGAGGTATGCACAACAGGACGGCTCCAATGGTTCCACCTGGTATCTTGAAAGGGCGTGTTGCATTGGGGTACTTAATCCTTAACCATACAAATGCTATAAATTCCAAGATCATTCCAAAGCAATACAAGAAATTTTCTGCAGCTACTATTTCCTGAAAGCTCAGCCACGAAAGTAAAATCACACCAGAAGCTGAGAAGAGAATCCCAATTAAAGGAGTTCCGTGACGAGATCTTTTTGCGAAAAACTCAGGGAGCATTCCCCTCTCTGCCATACCAAGTAACTGAAAAGAGTCACTACTCATCTCAGCCATAAACATCCCCATATTTGATACTGCAGCAGCCCCTTGAACCCAACATCTAAGCCAAACTCCACCAAGTATTTTAGCTATATCTGAGAAATATCCATCTGTCCACGAGTCACGGTCAAGGGGAACAGCACCAGTACCAATCAACAAGGGGAAAAAGTAGGACAGAACAACTAAAATAACAGCATAAAACAAAGCTTTAGGTAGAGTCTTTTTCGGGTTATGTACTTCTCCGGCAAGAGTACTTATTGAATCCCAATAATTCAGATTCCAGAAGAGAGTATTCAGATACAAGTTCCAATCAATACTGTGTACATCTGCCACTAGCCATCTAGCAGGCTTTAATTTGGGAATCGAAATGAGCCCCATAACGACAAAAGGAAGGATCGACAAAATACCAAGCGAAACAGCAACCCATCCTACAATGGTTAAACCTCTGTAGTTCATGTAAGTGAGAACCAGAGTAAGAGCCAAAACAGCTAGAATCCTAGGAAGCCCACCACCTAATGCAGGGATAGCTGATTTTAGGTAATCTAAGAACATAACGGGGTAAAGTGCGTTGTCAATGACTCCACTCAGCCATTTCATCCAACCTTGCTGAAAGCCCCAATATGGACCTAAAGCGGAAGAAACCCACACAACATAACCACCATTTTCAGGGAACATAGTGCCCATTTCAGCAGTAATGAGTGCCTCAGGAACACTCCATATTAAAGGGAAAATCAAGAATCCAAGAAGAGCAAAAAGAGGACCAGCTGCATGAACAGTGTCCTCAACACCAAAAGGACCACCAGAAACCTCATAGAAAATGAGGAAAATTAGAGGCAAGAGTGAAACTTTCTTAGCATTATTTGCTCTAGGAGATGGAACCTCTATGTATTCTGCACCATTAAGTTCTCCCATTGAAATTGCAGCTTCTCTATAAGCTGAAACCCTGAGTTTCTGCAATTTCCAACAAGTTCCAAGTTAAGGAAAACAATCACAGTAAAAATATCACTAGAACTATAGGAACCAAAAGAAGCAATTTTATCAACATACAAGAAAGCACAATAATAAAACAATCAATCATAATAAAATTACACAATGAGTCGGAGGAAAAATAAATTCAATCTTGGAAAAAGAAATTGCCCATCTATCAATTGTCCGTGCAGCAGATCTCAGTCAACATAGAAGATATAAAAAAATCCAAATTTATAGCAACTAGTATAATTAAAAATAAAGAAATAGGAATGGGTAAAGAGAATGGGACCATGAAGAAAGGTAAATCAATTGGGAAGTTCCACCATTATAGCCCTCAAAACCAAAGATTATTCAAGCTGAGAAGCTGATAGATCAAAGGTATGGCTCCTCAGCAGTTGAAAGGTGAAGTGTCAGTTGCGTGGCACAATTCAATAGCAAACCTTTTTATTTTTCTCCAGTCAAAGATCTAATTTTTAAAAGAAAATCGAATAATATCATATTGTTGATTCACAAAAAAGTTAAAACTAATAGTCTAATAAAAATTTAATTGTGGACCATATAAATTAATAAAGTTTGAGGGCCATTTTCTAAAAGATTGCATCTGAAATATGCTCATTCATGTCATTCTTCTAAACATAGCATATCAAAGCTAGCATTATTTTGTATTGCGTAAGAAAGGTTATGACTTTTGAGGGTCTTACTTCTTACCAACGTGTTTCTTAGAGAGAGAGAGACAGAACACACATGGCAACTAAGAGATTGGATGGGCCTATTTTGGAAAGAATAGGCCCAGTCCAGAAGATTGGGCCTGGGTAGGCCCATAAAGACTTGGACCAATTGCCCCCACTTAGGGAAAAGAGGCGGCATTGTTGCCATCAGGTTTGAACCTCGATCCAATGGCTTTAAATTAAACTCCACCTGAATAATGCTGACAAAATTCTTTGTCAATATATTTCACTTTTGTTACAAATTACTTAATCTTGTGGTATATAATTACCTATTGGTATGTTCAACCATTATTATCGAAACTCGCATTCACATAAGCACTTTTGTAGTTTCACTCTAGATCTTCTTCTTCTTTTTGTAATTATGAAACCAAAATTAAAAGGAAAAATTCCCTGCTTGTTTTTCGCTAAATTGATCGGACCAGATAGACTAAAGATACAGCTCAACCTATCGAAGGTTGGTCTTGAATTCCGAAAAGTTTTTAAATAATTTTCCAACCAAAAAGTTCATATCTGAAAATAGCTCAGTATAATATGTACTTCTTAGAAAGATAGTTAAATGCCAATATATTTTGATAAAACGATCACATCAGCTGATTAATAGACCATATAATATAACTGTCCAGTGTTTTTAAGTTGTCAATTACCATAGTTATTTGAAAAATATGTATTCACATTTTTTTTGTTTATATCACACTAAACAATTTGATTATGTCAGTAACAAATTAAAGTATGAATATATGTTACTTAATCATTGATTAAATTTATGCATGATATTTATATCTTTATTTGGTACAAAAACAGAATGCAAGTACTTTTGTTTCCTAAATGACAAGGAGGACAATTACATCCTCTCTGCTAATTAGTAAGGAATAGGGTGCACTGAAATTGAAAAGTGATACATAAATATAGTTATAGAAAGTAGACGCGGAAAGTCTCTATTGATCATCATGATCTTAATTAATAAGGCAAGCCAAGTCAACCATGCGGTAATAATATGTTATAATCTTTTATTTGTGTATTTCCTTTTCATTTAAAATTTCGGATATATTGCACTCATTGCAGGCGTGCAGTCTTCTTTCTTCATTAGCCAACATACAAACCCCACCTTAATTCACNTGTAAGAAAATCATTGCACATATCTGACTGTTTTATTATAATTGCATGCCTCACTATAACTTTAACACAACCAAATTAAGATAAAACTTTGAGTTTTTGACAAAGCAACAGAGAAATGCATTTTATAATCTTTCAACATGACATAAAACTTCTGCCGAAGAATAACAAAGAAAAAAAACCCACAAAATTTTAAGAGAATATTGCTGGACAAAATTCACTGTTTTATTAGATTATCTTGTCTAAGATCTTATTAAGAAAACGAAAAATATATAAGATTTACGAAGGAATTAGGATTATGTAATAGGTAAGTGCACATTATGATAAAACAAGTTTAATTGAATAACGAAATATGATCATGAACTCTTTTGGGTGAAGGACTAGGAAAACAAAAATTAAGAAAAAGAAACTAATGAAGGGGAAAACATATTTGAGTTCAAATTTTTCCCTCAGAAGACTAATAAAGTACGTAATTCTTTTTTCCCATTAGGTTTATTCACCTACTTTAAAGTGTCGTACTACGCTAGGTAACGTCGAGAGAGAAGTCCATAGCTTTCCGACTTTCTCAAAAAACGCTATCTTCATTCTTCCCTAGATTACTTAATAAATCAGGATAGCTATTAACTGCTAGAGTTTCAGGTAAATCATTGCTTGTAAAACTCAACAAAATAACATTTAAATAAAAACATAAATTTAAAGAAAAAAAGGCACTCCAATATTCAAATTTACCTGATTATCACCATTCTGCAAAGATTTATCGGTGGCTGTTGATGTTAGAGCTTCAGTCTGAACTGTTGCACCATTCCCAGATAATTTCTTATCCGCTACTGAAACTGCAAGTTGTGGCTTAGCATTAGAAACCTTATGAAAGGAGGATTTGCTTTCAGATTCTGATGAAGTTGTTGGCACCATTTATGCAGACAAAAATTCTGATCAGGGAGATAAATCAAGAAAACTAAAGGCTCATTAATGGAGGAAAAGCAATGATTTATAGTAAGGGAAATATTTTTGTGATACTTTTTCGGTAGTTTTTTTATCAAGAAAAGACTCTTTGATGGCAGGGTGTTTTAGGGGAAGTTTGTGGCCAAGTATATTAAGTGAGAGATAAGCAAGAAAATATATAAGTGTAGGAGATCAAGGGGACATCGAGGTCATATAGGGTAAACTGATGTAGGGTACTCAAAATCCAATAATTTATGTGATATTTTTTCTCTATTTTAGAATACAACTAGTATTAGTACCCGCGCGATGCACGGATAAATCATTTCAAATTGTAATGTATGTTGTTTGAATCATGTACAAACAACCTTAAAATATATATCTCTCAGATAAAAATTATATAACATGAGAATTTAATTATGAACCAGGATATGAAATTATTTATCAAATCTCGTAGTAGACAACCAATCTTTTTAACATATATTTGTAGCAACCTAACCCTTTGATTTTAGTACTTGCATTTCGTTCTGTTGTCGATATTAAAGAATACTAAACATGTCATATTGTGATCTGTCTTGTTCGAGCACATTAGATCATATTATTTTAATAAAATTCTTACAATCACTTTATTTTTATCAGGAAGTCAAATATGTCTTATTCATCACATCATTTTTACGTAAATTCTTTTTTTGTTCTTTTCTTATAGTTATTATATTATTTAATATTTCATATTATTATACCATCATATAATTTTTTGTTAGCTTATAATTAAATTAATGTCTTGCTTATTATCCTTTTAATAGTATGTGATAAAAATAAATATTTTATTCTCAAAACTTGATATATTTTTATGCTTTTATCCTCTTATTCATAATATTTTAATCATTTAAATTTGTCAGTAATATTTTTAAATATAATTAATTATTTTATTTTATCTATATTAAAATTAATTTAAAGTATAAGTATCCTCACACTACCTCTATTTTCTTTTTAATATACATTCTCTTTCCTACTATAAATGTTAATTAGTTTTATATTAATATTTTACCTATAACCAAAATAATGTCATTTAAATTGTAACTTTTAATTAGTCTAAAATATTAATACATAAGTTATTTGATTATCATGTTCCAAATGTATTGAGTTCTCTTATTATTAATTTTGTATTAGATGCAGTTAAATTTTCTTTATTTTTTAGCTATAAGATAAAATTTAATTTTAATTTTAATTTTAATTTTCATTATTAAGATTACCAATATTAGAAATTTATTTTGTATTTTTAAAAATTTATTTAATCATAGAAAACAAATTCTTAATTTTATGAACACATTATTTCTAAATATTGTAATAATATTTTTACTATCATTTTAATTCTTTACGTAATAATTTTTTTAAAAAAAATTCCTCTCAAACTCAAATAATTCTTATCATTTTATTTTCTAAACTGCGTCACATTTTCAAAAAATTATGCTATGCATTCATACTCAAACTAACTGCACTCGATTCAGATATTAATCATAAGTCTAAAATATTAATACATAAGTGATTTGATTATCATGTTCCAAATGTATTGAGTTCTCTTATAATTAATTTTGTATTAGATGCAGTTAAATTTTGTTCTTTTTTTGCTATAAGATAAAATTTAATTTTTAATTTTCATTATTAAGATTACCAATATTAGAAATTTATTTTTATTTTTAAAAATTTATTTAATCATAGAAAAAAAATTCTTAGATAATTTTTAGAATACAATAATATTTGTTAAACTGAAGTTGAGCCAATCCTATCATGCAAGTTGAATGCTTGTCTACTTGTGCCCCAGTTGTAGGTCAAGGGTGGGGGTGATTGGAGTGTATATAATTATACTCCATTCAATGATGTGGATATTTTGAGATAATTTGTTATATATCAATAGAAGAGAAGATTATTATATTTAGAATTTATAATAGTAAAGGTACAATGACTCCAGTACTCTAAAAACATTAAAGATTAAATTTATCAAATTTAAACTTTGAATACACATCTACGCTGTTAAATCACAAAGAAGTGCGAGTTATAAATTATAACTCTCATTTTCTTTGCTTTTTCTCGAACTCGTTTTTTAGTTTTGTGTAACGACCCGACTGGTCCTTTTAAGCATATGCATTTCGCTCGGTAGTTTGATGCTTTGGAATGGATTTTCGTCAGTTCTATTAGCTCCGTTGGGTAATTTTGAACTTAGGAGCGTGTCCGGATTGTAATTTGGAGGTTCGTAGTCGAATTAGTCTTGAAATAGCGAAAGTTGGATTTTTGGGAAGTTTGATCGGGAGTGGACTTTTTGATATCGGGGTCGGATTCCGATTACGGAAGTTGGAACAGGTCCGTAATGGCAAATGTGACTTGTGTGCAAAAGTTGAGGTTAATTGAACGTGATTTGATAGGTTTCGGCATCGGTTGGAGAAGTTGAAGTTTCAAAGTCCATTGATTTTGACTTGAGGTGCGATTCGTTGTTTCGGGGTTGTTATGCGTGATTTATAGCCTTGAATAGGTTCGTTTCGTCATATAGAACTTGTTTGCAAAATTTGGCGCTATTTGGAGTTTATTTGATATGGTTCGGACGCTTGGTTGCGATTCTAGAAGTTTTTGAAGTTTATTTTGATCTTCATGTGTTTTGGTGTCCGATTCGTGGTTTTAGAGGCTATTTTGATAATTTAATCGTGCGAGCGAGTTCGTGTTGTGTTTCTGGACCTGGGTGCATGGTTGGTTTGGAGCCTCGGGAGCTCGGGTGAGTTTTGGATTGGTTCCAGAATAATTTTTCATAATTTTGAGTGTTGGTACTGGTGTCATCGCATTTGCAATGTATTTGTAGCAAATACGACTATCGCAATTGCGAAGCTGGGCTGTTGGAAAAGGACTCGCA